ATTTAAAAATAAAAGCAAACATATAAAGCATTTTCAAGCATGTAAAACCCACAATCTCTTATTCTTCTTAATTGCATTGCTTCAAGTAGCTAATGTGATGTAAAACATATTGCATTCTTGATTCTATGAGTCGCCTTTGTACCACGCCCTACGAGGCAAGCCCGAACAAGTCTATGTTAAGGTCTGAAATTATTCTTTCTCAGATAAAAAATAATGATTTTATAACTTTCATTGCCTTTTAAGAAGATATTTTATTGCAATGAATGAATGAACATTGGCAAATAGGGGGTTCTCGGAGCTTCGGTGAAAGTTATAAAATCATTATTTGTTATCTGAGAAATAAGAATTTCAGACCTTAACATAGACTTGTTCGGGCTTGCCTCAAGGGGCATGGTCGGGGGTCCAGGGCCATTAGACTCAAAAAAAGCAAAAAGAACAAAATTTAAAAAAGGTGCACACCTGGGCTGAGGCACAAGGCGCATCCTTTTAAAAGAGGTGCGCCTAGGACCTATGCGAGGCACACACCCCAAAATGTGCCTCGCCTGTATGCCTAGGTATGCCTTAGGTGCACCTTTTAAATCATTGGATTCTTCTAAAACCATCAGAGGAGATTGTTTTTGGAAAGGAGAGTTCAGGGAGAAAGTGAGTGTGATCAGGAATAGGAGGATATTTCAAACATGTCATCATTGGTGGGAGTCCCATAACTAGGCTTGCCTTTAAGAAGGTGGATCTAAACAAAGCTATTTATAAAAGTAGATGTTTGTAAGAAATTAAGGTTGTTCTTAGGTTAGGTGGTGAGGAATATGCTACATACTAAAAAAGTATTTTCGGAACTAGACTGAACGAGGTGTGTTAAATCCAACTCTTGGGAGGGAAATAATCAGGAAGGAGAGAAGCTGAAAGAAGGTGTAGTGAAGGTGGAGATTGAAGCATGTTGGGGACATTTCTTGAGTGGTTTTCTATGTTTGTGATAATTGATGAGGAATGGAAATGGTAATGTTATATCTCAATAAAGTAAAGTGAACCCTTGTTATCTGCAAATTTCTAATAATGTGGGCTCTGAATGTATAAAAAATCCATTGTCTAATGTTGATCCTAGCTATCTGGGATCTTGGTAGGGGTGGAATGGATGTTGTTCCTAACATTTTGCAATTTTCTTTTTCTTTTCTTTTCTTTTCTTCTCTCTCTCTCTCTCTCACTCTCTCTTTCTTTTTGCATAAAGTGGATGTTCAGACTAGAATCCACATTCTCACACTTGTAAGCCTAGATTTTACCATTACATCAAGCAATGGCCTCTGTGTACTCTCGATGTATTCTTCTATTTATTCCCCATTATTCATGATGTATTTTCCTTCTTGTTTCTTTATGCATTTTTCTTCTTTGTTATTGCATTTTACTTTTTGTTTCTTTGTGCATTGTTCTCCTCTGTTATAGCATGAGTTTCTATTGGTTCATAACACAGTATAATTGGTAAGGTCTTTTATTTATTTATTTACTTTTATGCTTCCAGCCTATTCAAAATACAGGGGCCCTCTTGGAAATGTGAGAAAAGGAGTATTGGTATGCTTCTCTATTTTCTTCTCGAGCTTTCAAATATGTATACATATTGTACCAAATGATTAAACAGAAGCCAATCAGTTCTTAATATTTCCATTGAAAAATGCTGCACATATCAGAACTGGGTTTTGTAATTTACATTATATCGTTAATTTCATAAGACAATATTACTCTTGTTTCAGCAGTTCGAACTAGTAGAGAAGCAAGGAGAGAGAGAAGAAGAAGAAGAAGCTGTCGAACTAGAGAGTCTGAACCCTACTAATTGACCATAATGTGTATTATATTGTAATTAGTGTACAAGGACAACACTGCCCCCACTTAAGTATGGGACAAGAGAACCACAGAAGTAATATCAGAATTGCCACATCAGCATATAACTTAAACATGATGAAAAGACTAATCTATCCTTACTCGACCAACTCTATCACTCCCCCTCAAGCTGGAGAATATATGTCATATAATCCCAGCTTGTTACATATATAGTTCACTCTCCCTGAGTTCAAACCTTTTGTAAACAAATCTGCCCACTGATCACCTAAGCCCACGTGTTCTGTGCTTATCTCTCCAGTAAGGACTTTCTCCCTCACAAAATGGCAATCAATCTCTATGTGCTTTGTTCTCTCATGGAAAACTGAATTAGATGAGATGTGAATTGAAGCTTGGTTATCACAGTACAATCTCATAGGTCTGTCCATTGAGAATCCAATCTCTTGTAGGAGATCTTTCGGCCATACTAACTCACATGTAGTGTGTGCCATGGCTCTGTATTCGGCTTCAACACTATTCCTTGCCACAATGGTCTGCTTCTTACTCTTCCATGTCACTAGATTTCCTCCAAGAAATGTGCAGTAACCTGTAGTAGATCTTCTATCCGACACTGAGCCTACCCAATCTGCATCTGTATACCCAACTACCTCAAGTCTTCCTGCTGGTTTGTACAATAACCCACGGCCTGGAGTTCCCTTCAGGTACCTTACAATTCTAAGAACTGCATCCCAGTGAGGTATTCGGGGGTTTTGCATCCCACTAATAGCAAAGGAGATGTCTAGTCTTGTGATGGTCAGGTAGTTCAGCTTCCTCACTAATCGTCTATATCTTCCAGGATCATCAAATATTTCACCTGTATCACTACTCAACTTAGCATTCGGTTCCATGGGAGTTTCAGCCAGTTCCACACCTAACAACCCTGTTTCATCCAGCAAATCAAGGACATATTTTCTTTTGCACAAGTTTACACCTTGTTTTGACCTGGCAACTTCTATACCTAAGAAATACTTCAACGTCCCAAGATCTTTTGTTTGAAAATGGTCTTGCAGAAAGGCTTTTAGTCTATCAAAATCCTAATCTGTTACTGCCAGTTATGACAAATATCATCCACATAGACTTCTAATAAAATCTTTTCGGCTTCAAAATCATAGCTGAACACTGAGTGGTCTACCTGACATTGTTTCATTCCAAAATTTTTCACCACTTCACTAAATTTCCCAAACCAAGCACGAGGAGATTGTTTCAACCCATAAATTGCCTTTTTTAGTCTACACACCTTACCATCCTCCCCCTGAGCAACAAACCTAGGTGGTTGCTCCATATATACCTCCTTCATAAGGTTACCATGGAGGAAGGCTTTTTTAATGTCAAGCTGAAACATGGGCTAACCATACATAACTGTCAAGGAAATTAAGACTTAGACTGAACCAATCTTTGCCACAGGAGAGAAGGTCTCCATATAGTCCACCCCATACAACTGAGAATAACCTTTAGCAACTAGTCAGGCCTTCAACCGCTCCACACTACCATCTGGAAAGTATTTAATAGTATACACCCATTTACTTGGAAGAAGAGTAGTGAGCTCCCACGTGTGAGTATGCTGAAGAGCAAAGTGTTCCTCCATTGCTTGATGCCTCCCGGGTGAAGTAAGGACCTCTTGGACATCCTTGGGTATAGATATAGTGGACAACAGAGAAACAAATTGGCGATGTGAAACGGAAAGGTGAGAGACAAATAAAATTGGAAATGGGGTGTAGGGTACAACTACTTTTACCTTTCCGTAAAGCAATGGGAAGATCAAGTTCTAAAGGTTCTGAGATAGGAGCAATGATAGGATCTGTAGACGAGGTAGAAGTCGGAGGAGGTGCCGGTGTCTGTTGATGAGTATACACGTGCCAGATCAGTGGTCGTTTAGTAGGATTTTGCACGGGAGGAGGTGAAGGTTCAACCCCAATGGGAAAAACCAGAACGGGATCACTAACTGGAAGAGGAAGAGGAAGCAATGGTGGATTTGATGGTACTTCAGGTCCCGAAAAGAACGGTACAGACTCAAAAAATGTGACATTAGGACAGGCATAGGACTTCCAAGTGGTGTGATTGTAACACTTGTACCCTTTCTGAGTTCAAGAATAGCCAAGAAAGATACACTTAATAGAGCGTGCATCCAACTTTTCTAAACTAGGACTCAGATTGTGAACAAAGCACACACAGCCAAAGACTCGAGGTGTTAATGGAAAGGGAGACAAGGTGGGGAACAAAATAGAAAAGGGAGATCAATCGTGAAGGACGAAGGTGGGTATCCGGTTAATAAGTAAACAAGCAGTAAGTACAATGTCACTCCAAAATCGTTTAGGAACATTCATATGATGAAGAATAGACCGAGCAGTTTCAAGGAGATGACGGTTCTTTTGTTCAGCCACCCCAAACATCTTAGTGGACTAAAGCAAAAGGATTGAACATACGACTATCAACTCTAGGACTGAAGGAAACCCAATGGTGTTTCCCATACTGACACAACTCACACTATAAAGAAGACAAATGACTCAAAGAAGGAACCAATAGCTTGAATGCCTTGAGAGATGGATGTCCCAGCCGACAATGCCATTGTAGAGGAGTTAAGGAAGTTTGAAGTGCAACTGACGATCCACCACCGTCAAGATAATACAATCCACCAGTCTCATGCCATCTACCAATCTTCTTCCCCGTCTTGAGATCCTGAAAAACAAAAAATGAAGGGAAAATTGTAATAGAGAAATTAAGGGTCTTAGTTAATTTACTAACTGGCATGAGATTTAATGGAAATTTAGGCACATATAGAACAAATGATAAAGAAAGAGATGTCGTGTCAACATTACCAACACCACAGATGGGGGAAGAGGAACCATTGGCCAGGGTAACGGTTTGAGATGTGGAAGTTTCAGAGAGGGAAGAAAATACACCTGGAGTCCCGGTCATGTGATTAAAGGCTTCAGAGTCAATAATCCAGGAAGAGGGTTTGGATGCCAGACAGTTCATACCTGAGTGTGCAAGAGTGGCTGTAGTATGTTGTGAAGTAGCCTGAAGGAACCTCTTATACTCATCTCGTGGTACACTTATCATCTTCTTCCCGGATGCAGATGTAGATGTGGAAGGTGTTTGATCCGTTTGTTGGTTATCACTCATATCAACCCCACTAGCAGCTGCATGATTAGCCCATGTAGAAGGTGGGCCATGGAGATCATAATAGGAATTAACTGAATTCCCTTCCCTACCACAGTGTGTACACTTCCTAGTAGTGTTGCTTTTTCCTTTACCACGACCTCCCCCTAAGTCACGACCACCACCACGGCCAAACATGGAACCACCACGATCTCCTTGAAACGCATGTCCTCCCCCTCTATTACCATGTCGACCTCCTCTTGCTACAACAAATGCTGATCTGTTAGACGGTGTGGTACTCTGTGGATCCCAAAGAAATCCTGCGAAGCCGTGCAAATACTTCCTCAAGTGTAGGAAGAGCAGAACTCCCTAATATTTGTGCTCTAACTAGTTCATACTCTGATTTTAGCCCCACTAAGAACCTAGTGACATCTAGTTGCTCCCTTTGTTGTTGCTAAACCTTAACATCTGGAGTTAGGGGATGATAGACATTGAGTTCATTTCTGAGGTTTCTCATATTGGCATAATACTCTTCTAGGGTTTGATTCCCTTGCTGCAGATTGAAATACTCCTGATAGAGTTGATATACTCTCGTAGTATTATCCTGTCCAGAATAAAGTTTCTTGGCATGTTCCCATATGTCCTTAGTTGTATCTAAGAACATAAAGTTGACACTTATCTTGGGTTCCATATTGTTCCACAACCATGTCATGATTTTGGCGTCTTCTTGTTCCCAATCATCAAATTTTGGAGATTCAGCTGATGGTTTATCTTCCTTCACATGTCTCACTTTCCTCTTTGCCTTGAGAGAAACTTTCACTGACTTGGTCCATGGCACATAATTTTCACCATTAAGTTTAATTGAAGTCATCTGCACACCTAGATAGTCAGGGAACCATCACACCAGATTTCTGATTGCTACCACCATCTCCAATTGCTGCCATTATGTCCTCCAATGCTATTTCTAATGCTGAGTTCTCAGCCACCAAACAAATACTGCTGTCAAGGCAACACTACAACAGTCTCCAAATCACTTATAACAGTTTTACAACCAGTCACAATCAATAAACTTGATGTAAACTAGCATTCAGATCAAGAACTTGATGTAAACTACCATTCAGACAGATTCGGCTACCATTCAGATCAAAAACGTTGATGTAAACTACCATTCAGAGATATTCGGCCACTCTTTTCAGCAAATTTTTTATTTTTTTTCTTTTCACACCACTACTGACAATTAATCACCATGACAGCAACTCAACAACTCAAACAACCACACAAATCCTCTTGAAACTGCTCAATAGAGGGTAAACACTACAAACACCACCACACGACGACTAGGGCTGTCACTCATGGTGACAACAGTATTAGGTTGATATTTTAGGGCTGCCGCATCTTCCTAACACTTGTAATAGGGATTTCCGTAGTCCTAAAAAAAATAAAATAGTGCCGCAGCTACCAAGTTGTGTACCTCAGATTTCGCAGCCCAAAGAAGGAGAAAAGAGAAGGAGAGATCGCAGGTCAGAAAACTTGAAGCCGCAGCCTTCTTCTCCTTCGTTTAGCACTCTGATACCATGTTTCAACAGTTAGAACCAGTA